GCGATTAGGCGATTAGGCGAGTAGGCGATCAGGTGATATCTGGATTGGATGCAACACTTTGACAAGATCTGCTCTTAACAACTAGTAGTCTAGTGTATGGGTGAGAATGTATGTCTTCACCGCCTAATCGCCTACTCGCCTGATCGCCTACTCGCCTACTCGCCTACTCGCCTAATCTATACGTATATTTTTCATTTAGACTAATCGCCTAATCGCCTAATCGCCAACTATGAACACTCCATTAGAGCGCACAGGCCGCAATTGCCCATCCTGCTGCGGTCGGACAACTCGTCCGTATCACTCAACTACCAGACTTCTGTAATTGATCGATCTGATAATTTGGGTCTCAAAAATCTCGCTGAGTCCTAACGTTGAGTCCTGCCACTTTCAAACAGTGTTGAGTCGCTGGTACATAGTTCGACTCGCTGGTGCAATCGTTCGATTCGCTGGCGCAACGCTCGGATCCAGCGATTCGCTAGCGAATCGCTCGATTCGCAAACTATGACATCGGCCTAAGGCTTGTCCCAAGTACTGTAAGTGGCTCACTCACTCGAATGTCCCCCCTAATGACATGAGTGCCCCGTATACCTGCGCTGACTTCCAGTGCAACTTCTTTTGCTATCTACAATTAATACACGCTCATACAATATCTACAGTGACTGAATACCCGAAACAAAATTTAATGGCCTGCAAGTGGCCACTACCCGCAGAATCTCATCGAAAAGAACAGGAGCTTGAGACGTCGACCTCAATCGCATCTATTTCACACGTCCGTATGATCTTTATTCAAGCAAATGAGAACTATTCTTAGCCAGTTTGAAAAATCATGATATAATCAGGACACTTTACAAGAGATCACAAATCAATGAAGGCAAAGGAGAGAGATTAGACAGGTCTCGACTGAAAGGCAAGTAATTTAGGATACTTACAAACTGATTTTCAGGTATTTCAGCTTTGGAGCATGCAGAACAGAGTACTTATTTACAGGACACATAACTTGAGTAGTCAGAAATTAATTAACTATTCATCTAAATGAGCCATAAAAAGAATAAAATGTTAATCTTCGACAGATACATTTACAATTTGAGAACTTTTTCGAAAAGTGAGTATGAGAAAGTGAGTGAATAGAATGTGGCTACGGAACAGCATATCGCACCCACACTGGTAAGATCCATAAGTCACAATTGTGAACCATCTCGTTAATTCCACATTTGTTAGTTCCCTTCATTTATCACTTCTTTCTTTTCTGATTGGACAATCCTGATCGAGCAGATAACGTTTCCTGAAAAACAATTTAATGTTTTGAACCTGAGTTACCCAACTACGATGCCTACCGTTCGTGAGGGCAACCTTGTCCGAGAGTTGCGAGCAGTTAACGATTTTTCACATGGATCAGCCGGTGGTTCTAAACAAACAACATAAACAGGGTGTCAGTGCTTTTTAAGCTAGCAAAACCCGCTCCTGCTCAACTTCCCCACTTTCGAAATACATTGTTAAATTTGAGGCAAAAGTTTGAATGGAGACTGTGGATTAATATTACTGATAAAAAAGATTAACAAGCTGACGTGGGGCGGGAGTGGTTAGGAAGGGGGCGGGGGAGAGAAGAGCAAGTGTAGCAGTTTTTAGTCTTTAAGAAAAATTAGAATTTAGTCTGATTTGATCCATCGATCATGTGCTGCCTAGGTCAGAGAGCTCTGCAGTACCAGGCGATGATCTTCTGAGGGATAAATCCAGACTAAATTGACTATCGTACAGTCATCTCCCGTGGCGGCCAATGCTGCCGTCCGGTCTAGGACCGAAAGCAATTGAATCTATAGCGATAGTCTCTCGCAAAATACTGGTCCACCAAGAGTCCAACAAATGTTCCCGCCGGCCAGCGACTCTGCACGATGCTAAATGGCGCGCGCATTCCCATGAATGCGATCGAATGTTCACAAAGCTTCACGGTATATCAACATGCCCAAGAATCACTGTGGTACAAAAAGGCGAAACCTTATTGCGCAAGCGCTACGTTAAGGACGACTTCACGATGAAACGCAACCATTTCAAATTAACTAGAGATCCGCCATCTATGGATCATCTATATCTTCTCTCTATCGATACTCATCCGTGGAGATCCCTCAACTCGGAAAAATCCGCTCCTCGACCTTCATCCTATACGTGAAATTCCTCCTTTCAGCAAAGTAATTTGCTAAGCACGGCAGCACTTCAGAAATAATCGCAAACAGACTAACCATTATTCTCAGAGTAAGCAGATGATTTGATGAGCGGAAACAATCGATCAATACCAGAGTTAACATCTCGTCTTGCTGATGGAATAGCGGACAATGCATTTCTGTAACCATTTGTGATCGCCCGCAATGCTTCACCTTCCATTTGACCTCGGTACTTTATGAAATTCGCTTCATAATCAGCCACCTTCAAAAAACGTAAAATAATAAACGATTTTTGAACAAATTAGGGCTTTTCAACCAATTAACTCACCTTCTCTTCAGCTACTTTTGCACGTCTCTCAGCTTCGTCTCGTTCGTCTTCTGCCATCTTCATACGCTGTTGCGCTTCCAATATCCTCATTCGAGCATGCCGCTCCCTCTCAGCGTCTACCAGCTTTGTTTCTTGCAAGTAGTCGTCCTAGTGTAAAAAACTTTTATTTTCAATGGTTTAAAAAATAGTCTCAATAAAAAGCTGACATCTCATAGTTATTCTCCTAATTACGACTAGCTGTAAATACAAGCAAAACGACTTCAGAATTACAGCCACCATCAAAACTAACCATCTGCTTCGTGATCTCTTCTTCACGCCGCTTCACATGAGCTTCAGCGGCGCTTTCTACCTTTTTAAGTTTTTCGGTCAGCTCACGGATCTCAGCAACTTTAGAATTAATCTGAAAAATGAGCACGAGTGTCACCTCTCACGAAGAAAATTTTATTTTATACATTTGAAGCAGGACAAGATACCTCTTTGGATTTAGTCTGGAGGTTCATCCTTCTCTTTCAAATCATCCATAAGTCACAATCAGAATCTGCTCTAAACATTGTGTTCATTCGAAATCATTGAATATTCTAGAGAAAAAATGAAAAATATATTTGTGAAAAAGTTTCACGCTCACGATCTAATTGCTGCTCGATGTGGTCACTATGATTCCTCAGAGAATCCCTCTCGAAGCGCAACATATCCAAATGTTTGTTGGCTTCTTTCAACTCCTCAAATAAAGATTATTGGAGCTACTTTTCAGAGGTGAAAGCCGTAGCTGAGTGGAATCTCCCTTCTAACTCCCATATTGAGGATGAGAAGGCACAGAATGAAATAGATCTAAAGCACACGTCTGTTGTCTATTCAGTTTTGCCCTAGGATCTCTTGCTACCAGCCCTGTTCAGCAGCTTGTCCTATTCAGTTCATCTGAACTTCCTTTCGGAGAGTGGTCGTGTGAATATGCTGGACCACATAGTGAATGCCCCCAAGAAGAAACGAAAGTTCCAGTAAAAGAGGCATTTGCATTATCTTCTGCATACAAATCTTACACACGAACTTACCTCCTTTTTCGCTTCAAGCTGAGCTGTTGTGTGTTTGAGTTGGTTTTGAAAGGTGTTGCTTTGCGCCAGTGACAATGCATGTTTCTGAAATGTGGCGCAACTGAATTAATTGAGCGATTTTCTCTCATGAATATGTTCCCCCTTCAAATGGTATCAAATATCCTTTTGAATCAGATATTAATATAAAAAATTTCGAGGAATCCTATACCTGCTTCCACTTCTGGATCTCTGCTGAGGACGTCTGCTCCAAGTCACGTAGGGCGTTGATAGCTTGCTTCGTAAGATCACGCATCTAAACGGAGAGATACAGTAGACTCACGCAAAGGCAGGTACGAAACAAGGAATATCTGCCACAGATGCAATACATAAACTATCGAAGAGACTCTGAAACTCACTTGCTCAACTATTTTGTTTTGACCACGAATCACCTGTGTTCGGAGAATCTCAACAACGCTCTAAAAACCTTCCTTTCTTTTTGCGTTTTGAAAAAAAAAGAAAAATAAAGAGGCAAAGGTTGCAAGAATACTAAATTTCACTCACATTGAGCTCATGGTTTCTTCTATGAAGCTGCTCCTTTTCACGCTCACTTACATGGCAACGAAGCGCGTACCGTTCAAGTTGATCACGCGCATCAGCTTCACAAAGTTTCTAGAAAAAAGTATTTTTCCTCATCGTAGGTATGAGAAAGCTGTTACGGCGTTAATTTAAAAATGGTGTCAGCTTCTAATGCAAAAACGTACATTTAGTTCATTCAGTTCTGCTTCAAACGAAATAGATGATTGCACAAAGAAGTTTCCATCTCCATAAATACTGCGGACCTTATCCATGTCCTCGCTTAGTTTTGAGAACATTTTGTTCAAGTGACCGAAGAGCCTAAAAACATTGACAGATGAGCCCTTATTCTCCTTTCAGCGACCTCTAAAAGCAAACGAAAAGATTTGAAGAACTAATATGTAACAGTCCTAGAGCAGTACATCGACAAGCAGCGAAGTTTCAGAAATATCTTGAGAAAAAAATACAACAACAAACGTCTCGCTCGTCATTATAGACTTGTTTCCAATATTGCCTGCTCCGTCGTCTCTGTCATCGAGGCCTCCCTCCTCCGGTTCTAGCTCTCGAGCGCCTTCCTCAGAGTGACTCCTGAACCGCAATAGTCCATAGGGATGCAATGGCTCATCCAGCACAACAAACACACACAACAAATGAAACCAAATATCACCCATAGAGACGAAATTACGACAGAACAATGCTGTTCGCCTCCACTCCTTCAAAATAAATAAAAAAAATTTGATGGAAAGGAAGTAGGTTGATCATGTATGGTATCAAATTTATCTACCGAGCCTGCTCCGAGCGCTCGACATAAGAAAAATATTAGTCGAACAGCTATCCTGAGGCTCCCCCAGCCACTACGGAGTCTGATGTTTCTCAGCCTCTCACACCTCCGAGAGAACTAGCGCAGTTCATTCTACCTTGCAAATCGATACCCTGGTTTTTAGATTTTTGAACCCATAAAGTGCACTTGAAACACATTTTCATAGTCAGCGAAGATCAAAACTGTGTACACTTGAAATGACACCACTCGCTAATTCACCCGTTCAGAGGTATAACAAAAATATTCCCAATTATTACCTACTATCCCCAGTGTTGCTTGCGAACAACTTCCGAGAAGATGCTGGACGGTGGTTATGGCTCGCATTGTATCTCATGGCCTCAGCCCGACTGGAATTGACGAGCCCAGTGGAATCAGCTGGAGATGTGAAATGCTCCGTACTCATCTGCTGAAGCACGGGTGTTATTTGGAAAAAAAACCAACTGTAGAGTAAGGCTTTCCAGCAACAGAGAAAATTGATGCAGAATGGTTCAGGTAATAAGTGCCCAAACAAATCTTGAGAGCGTAATAATAAAAAAAGGAAAATTTATTCATTATAAAATTACAGGAATAAGTTGAAATGGGTAGAAAATAGTTAGAAAATGAGAAAAACAGAGATTTTAGACTCAGTAGGCAAATTTCAGTAAACAGTAAACATAAAAAAACACATGTGCTGCAGACAATAGTTTAAAAAAGAATGAGACCAATACATTGAAGCACCGGAACCTCCAACGCGACATCATAAAACACATTATCGATAAAAACAAAAAGTCCAACCGTTTCGCGTAGAGATCGGAACAGGAAAACCTCAATCAATCCAAGTTCACTATTTCAACATTTTTCGATGCTTCAATGCTAACTTCCTGCTCAACGTCAAACGCTTTTACCATTTCAGCTTCCTTTTCGGCTTCTTTTTCAAGTAACTGCAAAGTAAAGATGAGTAAGGTAAACCATCGCAAAAGAGACTTAAAAAATACATGGTATAAATGAATACGCGTCGATACTCGGCACCAAAATAAGGAAGTGCATAACTACGGACGTTCTTGACAGCCTTGTCAACGTAAGGCCTCACATAAGCAGATTATCACCAACAGACGCAAAAAAACATATCTTAATAAAACCGTCCTAGTTAGAACAGTACCGCGCTTTGACCCCAAATTCTTTTGTATGTCAAGCCCTTTCTGAATGCCTCACAATGGACGAACTATTAATTATTGCAAATTTCCTTCTGTAACCTTTCCTCAAAAATCAGCTGTGCCGCAAGCGAGACGCGTACACATAGTTACAGCTTCACAAGAATGCTGGGTTGTGAACAAAACTTTCGCCCCAGGCGGGACTAGAACCCGCACCTCTCGCTTTCCGGGCAAGTGCGCTACCAGTTACGCTACCGGGGCACCATTTCATTCCAACTCAGCTTTTCATGGTATACATAGCTTTCAGCACTCACACGTATAACGTGTTGAGTTGGATGAAATGGTGCCCCGGTAGCGTAACTGGTAGCGCACTTGCCCGGAAAGCGAGAGGTGCGGGTTCTAGTCCCGCCTGGGGCGAAAGTTTTGTTCACAACCCAGCATTCTTGTGAAACATTCGCAAGGCGAACTGCGGCCAAAAACAGCAGTTAACAAACAAAATTCTTACTAAGTATCATAGATTCTCAAACTACATAAATTTACGTGATCCTGAAGGATTTACCTTATCGATGTCTGACTTCATGTCTGAGTAGAAACTTTTCACTTTATCCGAAGTTTTCGTTCCTAGCACTTCAGCAACAGCGTCGAAATCTTTACCGTACCGCAGCAGACCTTTAAATCAATGATAAAGAAATTGCCAAACATCTTTTCATATAGGGGCTTGAACTAGTGGGCATAAGTTGAGACGAAATAACTCCACTCACAATGGAACGCTATGATACGCTCCTCTTCAGTCCATGTATGACTTCCTCTCACTCGATCGCGTCTGGATGATCCTTCTTCATCCCTTCTGTCCTCTTTCGCTGTGAGATACCTGGAAAATCAGTCTGTCATTTTGCAATTAAAGAGATGAACCTGCGACCATAAATATTTTAATGAAAACACCACTCGTGAACAAAATAATGGCAGCCATGTAACGTCAGGTATTGATAACTGGAGAAGGACCAACAAACCTATAGTTATCCAAACCATTCATGAGCCCCTCAGCTCTCTGTGCCTTCAGCGTACATTCAAGGCGGATAGCTCGTGAACGAACCCTAGTTAGTTCGCGCATAGCTGCCCTGAAAGGAGAAACTAACGAGTTTTATGAAACCACCTTTAATAAAGTGCATATATGTAGATATAAAAATATACATGCACATCTTTGAAAAATAACAAGGAGACGACAGGGCGACGAGCGTGATAGAGTGCCCTTAACTCACTT